ATTACCAAAAATCACTCCCCCTCCCCCGTTCCGAGTACTTATAAATTAATTTACATAATTAACTGGACCTTTTGTAAACTACAAGAAACCTAACTTTACAAAATAAACTGGATTATAATTTTGTTCCCCCCATTAAGCGTCTGAAAGTGTAAGTGGTTCTAATTTGTAGTCTCGAATTTTAAAAGAAAACACCGGCTTTTGAAGCGTAATACATCTTCTAAGTAGTCATGTTTTCATTTTTGATGATAAAAAATATTTCAACTAATTAGTCACGTACGTAAATATCAAAGATCAAGGGAGGATCTCCCAAGTGGTGTCTGCCTTCCCAGAATGCTTGTTTATTTGTTTTTGTCGAATTTTAGGCAAAGCTACTCGAGGGCTATCTGCGTTAGCCGTCCCTGATAGACTAGAGGAAAGGTAGCTAATCAACGCAAACTCTTGGGCTTTTCTTTACCAATGAATAGTGGAATTGAAAAGGCGAGCATGTTTGGTGATGAGTTTCATACTTATGACTCACAGTCGAGCGTCCTAACCATCAGGCCATGCCAGACCTCTCCACAGAATGTCCTCGAAAGTGAAGCAGAATCGAAAACATAAATACCATTTTCCAATGATATATATGAAGTAGAAGTAAAAACAAAAAGAAAGAGAGAGAGAGTTATCACAACAACTTTCATACACGGAATTAACCTCAAAATGGATTTCTTTCATCCTGAGACACATGAGCGTAATCTTCCAATAGAAACTCCTTTAAAGAGACAGAGAACTGAATACAACTAAATGTTAGTCGACTTTGATATATTTGCTAAATTCCGATGACACATTAGGTTATTTTTGTACATTTAATTGCAACAGAAATACTTGACTTAATTGTAGGATTATTTACGTCTGAAATAATTTTGTTCTCCAGTGGCACAGTGGTATATCTGCGGACTTATAATGCTAGAAGCCGGGTTTCGATACCCATGGTGATAAGAGCCCAGATAGCCCTTTGTGTAGCTTTGTTCTTAATAAAAACAACAGAAATAATTCTACTTAAATGTGTTTTTATGTCTTTGACAGGAATCAAGAAGGTACCTCTAAACTTTTCTTTTGTCTTTGATTTAAAAATGCTTGTTCATAATTTTTATTACTGTGTTAAACCGTTATACTTTTCTGATCTGTACAATTTGACTAACTGTAAATTAACCCTTTAAACAAAATAGAGGATAAATGTGAATGGATGTCTGACTATTCCCAGAAAAGATTTTTGAACATATCAACCACTACAGTACTTGTGAAAACTTATGTTCCAGCTCCACCAACAAAATCTAAGAAACACTGGTAGTGTCATGTTACCTTTTGCGTGTTGCAACTCCAAGATACCTGCTTTCTTATAATATTGTCAAAGAAAACTCCTGTATTTGATGTTTTACTTAAGAATCATAAGTTTCAGATAGTCATTAGATCCACTGTGTATGCTTGTAGATCCTAACTGAAAAAATATCGTGATTGTGAAAAATATTTCTCTAGCCTCAGTTACAATTTATTCTATTTCGTATATTTAGAACTATGATTTCCAATACAAACCCAATTCCTTTTCTGAAAGTTATGATGTTCCTGCTTTATATCCATACATAAGTATTCAAGACTTTGTTGACTCAACAGTATCTTCATTAAATGAATGTTAAGTTTAGGTTAATCCCCATGACATTTCTGTAATCAATGTCTACCATTCTTTGTAATATGTGTTATATAGATAATGGTTTTTAAGAACTAGAAATAGATTTAACATCAACTCCACAAGAAGCTGTAGATATTCAAATTTTAAACTGTTTACTGTTAATTTTCATGCATTCAGTAGAATTTTAAATTTCCTAAACGTAGGAGCTCTGAGATGAGCTGTGGCTTACTTTCTGATTGTGTTATATTGACGTCATTGTACTTGCAACGCTCGACAAAAGTGCTTAATCCGGTTTTACCACTTCCTAAATTAACTCATAAAACATTGATTTCACATTTCAAGATACTTTACTTAGCAAATGCCTACACTTTTAGACTCATTCACAACTATAGCAGATAAAAAGAGCAATTTTTAAAATTTTTATCAGAAATTTGTAAACCTACATTCCATTTCACATCATCCCTAGGTCATAAATCTCTTTATGATTTTTGAACAGTTAACAATCATTTCCAATATGATAAGCATTTACAGTGGTTAAATTCAATTTTATTTAAGTTGATTTCATAAGTTCTATTGAAAATTTTCCTTGATCCTTCAAATCATCGATGAAAGTTGTTGAGCGAAACACTGACCAGATGGTTCTACTTTGACAATGATTTGAACCACTTTTATTTTTAAAATATCTTATACTGTTTGACGCATAGGTTTGATTATGTTAAATTGAAATTGAATTTGAATACTCCAATCTGCAATATATGTGACATCCATGGCTGATATAAATTTGCTGTGGACGGATTGTATCAGAAATAATGTTTTACATTGTTTGGCGATTCTTAGGTAATATTATGCCACTGAAACTTGATCGCTTTTGGGAAGGGTATGTAACAGTCCTTTCCGTCCCAAAATACACTAAGATAATAAAGATTGGGGATTTAAAATTTCCAAGACGGTGGATATCGTTTATACTTAATGGCATCAGAAACAAAAGGAATATGGATCAACTTGGGGTAACAAAACTATCCAGAAAGAGACCTACAACCAATGTACCACAGTCGTGTAACAAGTGAGAATCCAAGAGCACAAAAGTCAGTGGCAAAAGCCATTTGTTTATGTGCCCCATACATCAGTGCACTACATAATCAAGAAGGATCAGGGTTCATCAATATATATATAAGGCTTTTATTCATACCTCTCATTCAACTGTTGAATACCTCATGAAATGGGTATTCATGCTATTCCAAGAGATACCATTCTATGGATTTCTTTGTGATCAAATTGTTGAAACGTCAAGTAAGAAACTGTCACCCTCGTACAAAGTCGCTTTAATATAACATTATCAACCTTCTTTATTGCTGATTTTGAAACTTTCGGTTATTCGTTAGTTGTTTAAAACTACCTCTGTGGTGTTTTAGAATTCTGGAGAAGCTACAAAACGAAACGCCGACATAATAAAAGGTTTGTCCCAGTAAAATCTGGTGTATTTATCTTTACTAACAATGTTTTCATGTCAGAGGTATCGAGCGCATCCAAATAATTAGTGTGCCTATCTGTGGATATGAAGTTCTGTGGTTTGCATCCCGTTACCACAAAGAAATAAAATAATAGAAATAAGCATACGCTTTGGGTCTGTGGGTGCGTTGTAAGAGCGACCGTCAAATATCTCTATTCAATATAACAATGATATCTCAAGCGTAGGCGGTGGGTGGGGTTAACTAACTGCCTTCCCTCTAGTTTATCACTTGAAAAGTATGGACGGCTAAAGCAGATAGGCTTCGAGTAGCTTTGCACAAAATTTAAGAAACAAAAGTACTTCACTGTGTGTTATACGTCTCCTTTATTTTATTGAGTACTTCACTGTGTGTTATACGTCTATTTTATTTTATTGAGTACTTCACTGTGTGTCATACGTCTCCTTTATTTTATTGAGTACTTCACTGTGTGTTATACGTCTCCTTTATTTTATTGAGTACTTCACTGTGTGTTATTTTGTTGAGATTTTGCTTTTTTAACAAAAAAGGAAACGAAAGTGGCTAAACCTTGACTTGATGGTATCTACTAAAACTTTGAAACAATGAGTGGAAAACTGAATAATGTAGTAAAACAGAGTAGGGGCTTTATATAAAAGATTCTAATCACCGACCTTTTAGTAGACCGTACTTAAGGACTGGTGTGAGAACTGATATGATCACTTAGTAGACTTTTTTCTTAGGCTAAATATGAATGTTTCTAGATTTTATTTTTTTCACGAGTAATTATGGCCTTTTTTTTAATTGACACTTAGTTTCAAAACTGTAAACCTTAATATTTGTGTATTCTGTAATTATTTATTGGTTTGTTGAGTTTCGTGCAAAGCTACTCGAGGGTTACCTGTGCTAGACGTTTCTAATTTTGAAGTGATAGACTAGAGAGAAGGCAGTTCGTCAACACCACCCACCGTTAATTATTGGGATACTCTTTATAAACAATAGTGAGTTGTTGTTTGTTATTAAACACAGAGCTACACAAAGGGCTATCTGTGTTCTGCTCACCACGGATATCGAAAACCAGTTTCTAGTAATATAAGTCTGCAGACATACCGCTAGGAGGCACAGTAGTGGGATTAACCGTCACATTATAACGCTCCCATGGCCGAAAAGGCGAACATGTTTGGTGACGGATTTCGACCTCGTTACCCGTAGATGTATATAGACTGCAAAACTTGCAAGGTAAACCAGATATATAATAGAATATGATATTTATTCAATTGTTAAGGTGAAATAAAGAAAAAACACCATACTTAATAGCTTAATATACAGCATTTGTACAGATTGTACGGAAAGACTAATCTCGGCATATATCTAAGGGATAGTAATTAAACTGAGTCTATATTATACCTTCTTTAAATTTTTGAAGGCAAAACTTTGGCCACATTTGGACATTGTTGAGTTATTTAGTTTTTGAAAGAATCTATGGATTAAAAGAGTTAACAATGACAAATCCAATTGACTCCGTCTGTAACATAACAGTACATTAAATACTACAGTCTCGCGAAAGATTATACATCATTTCATAGAAACTTGCCTCTCGACTTGCAAATATTGTGCTATACAACACACAAGACTAATTACTTTCCAATATCCTTTCAAGACTTTTCCGCACTTTAGGTCAACACTTCAACACCCACTAATATCAACTTAGAACGTTTCAAGTTTAAACAAAAATATATTTGACGTATTGAAACCTGTTATTGTGTATGTTGGTATTTAATAATTATACTTATCTATTTTTCGTACTTGTAATCCAACGATATTACTTCTAATAAACATTTTAACGTATATCTTGTTTTTTGTTTTTGCAGAGGATCAAGGTAATAGTTCAAAACATGACATTGTGGAACATGCAGTAGGACTATTGTCGCAGCAGTATAGGTAAAAATATATTTAATTAAAAACAAGATTACGTTTTACAGTATCTACAATGTAATTAACTTTACATTATGTGTTGGGAACAGTAGTCTAAGATATTATTTTGGTGTTCTTTGACTAATGTCGTCTGTACTGTAAGTAGTTACAATATCAAGTTATCGACCATTTATATATTTTTCATATTGTAAAACTAGATCTTAACCCTATCCTCTGCCTGGAATAAAAAAAATTGGAATACTCCAAGTTATAATATACATAGCAAATAATTATCATTTTAGTATGCAGCAAAATTTGAAAAAATATTTTGTATTTTTGAATTATTTAGGCGATTCACATTCACAGTCTTTGTTTTCATTTGTCTGAAAGTCAGGCCGGCTCCTTTTAATTACGTGTAAATTTTTCTTTCGGGTTCTCAACTGATCAAATTAATAGTTGGTTATTATTTTTAAATGTATCTTTACTGTGTTCAAGTCTCAACTTCGATACTGTAAGAGAATTAGTATTTAATCCAATTTTATTTTCAGTCGATCAATTTAAGTATTATTTCAACACTAAAAGGAACCACTATCTATTTCTTTTAATTTGACAGACTACACTGGAAGTTTATTTTGAATGATAATTATTGATACCAATTATAATTACATATAGATGTTTTCTATCATGGATATTTCTTTATAGATCTAGTAAAATTAGTTTTACTTTAAAGTAACCCTTTTTTTCGTGGTAATGTGAAAGAAATAACTTGTTATCTTTCTTTTGCTATATCAAAATTCCAATTTTTTTAAGATATACATTTCTATGCTAATACTTAATTATATTTACTAATGAATTCGTGTTTAAGTCATTTTTCATTTAAGCTATTGTAGCAGAGTTTAATATAACACTCACAAAAACCTTTACACACACAAACGTTAGTTCATCATATAATCAGTATTAGTGTTAGATGATAAGCAGAAGAAAGAACACTGTGAAATTTAACCAACAAATAATAGGACTTTTATTAAATATAATATTATTTAGTAATCATTTTTATCGACAAATTCATATAAAACCTAAATATATCTAAACACCCCCTTTGACTTAGACTTGCAGCTTAAAAGTCCTATCTAATTAGTAGGTTCATATTGTTCACCAAAAGATGTATCAGTAAGACCTACACTTGGATACAGTTTAACGATGTTTAGTTTTTCAATTTAATATCTTTACATTGTTCACCAAAAGATGCATCTACAATACCTACATTTGAATACACATTAAGGATATTTAATTCTTCAGTGTAACAGCTGCACCTTAATTCAATTTATATTCCCAAATAATAGCCTATTTGCAGTTAGTTATTTGAAATTTTTGGTTATTGGTATAATGTTTTATTGCAAAGGTAACTCATATAAAAGTCGTTTTACCATTTGAACTTGACGTTTTTATCAATTTCTACAATTACAAGAAGCAGTCCTTTAATAACAAACAAATAAACTGTATTTCAATTTAAGTTTTGATCTGTAGCCAGGTATTTTTTCTTGAATACTTAAATACATTAGCAAAATCAGACTAATTTATACTTGTTATTCTTGAATGTAATGATCCAAACATTTATAACTGTTTTTTTGGGTTGAAGTGCTGGACTGTGGAGCTGAATAGTGTGTTGTCTGTCAGTAGACACTAACATGACGTCACATAAGTGACGCTTAACGTTGTAATTTGTACTGTCGTGACGTCAGTAAACGTGCGCATGCCATAAGTCACGAGATGAATTATGCAGTCTGTAGGCTACAACACAGCATGAGATATGAACTTCTAAAGCAAAGAAATTGTTTGTTTGTAATTAAGCACAAAGCTACACAATGGGCTATCTGTGCTCTGCCCATCACGGGTATCGAAACCCGGTTTCTAGCGTTGTAAGTCCGCAGACATACCGCTGTGCCATTGGGGGGCAAGGAAAGAAATAAAAATTTTTGTTACCCTTAATTTTGATTTTATTTACTCTTGAAAAAGAATACTTTCGGGGACCCTGCGGAAATACATATAATATATAGATAGCGATACTTTTGCTGTTAATTTAGCCGCTGTACGAGCTAATGCACTTTTCTGTACATATGCCATAAGAATGAGAAATCTTGATCATGTTAAATTAAATATTATATCAACGTTAACGTCACAAATACATAGACAAATATAAGCATAAAAACTAACGCAGCGTAGCCTTTTATATATTCTATCTTTATAATTCTCCCGACGTAAAATATTAAACTTTATCTATTAAGTATTCAATAATACCTAAAAGTACTTAAGTAACATTCAAAAAAGTCTTCTATCCACTATCCAACTTAAATAGTTGCCAACTAATATGCCCTCTAAGTATCTTATTGGGAATTGCAATATACTGAAAGGAAATTTAAAACCATATGTGTTTCTCTTTGTAATAAGTTCATGAAAATGTTTACTAACTAGCAAGGGGTTATTTATATCAGAATCTGTAACATAATACTTGTTTAACTTAATCCATTAATGTAAATGGTTTGATTCCCCTACATATATATACACCTGGAAAAAAGTTAAGCACCCCCGTGTTTTTTTCAAGTGATTCAGAGTTGACGTTCTTGTGACTGATTATAAAT